AGTCCCGGGGCCGTGTAGCAGGAACCAAACCTCATTGTCAGTCCAAACAAATGTTCATGTATTCGTCATGCTTCAACCTGAAATGTCTTTGCGTGTTGATGAAATAGAAAAAAGACAGTGCCAGCTAGAAACTAACCGGTTCAACATCTTTAGTGGTCTTGTCCAAACAGCGGTTGCCATCACTGAATTACTCGATGACACTTTAACAATCAAAACTGGAATTTTTATAATGTTACAAAGGGTTTGTTCAAATATTAACGGAACTCAAAGCTCAGCCGGATGAGTTTTTACACATGAACGTCTTGTTTTCTTGAAATAAAGTTCTTTCACATGAGTATTGTAGCTAAACTTGCTTTATTTTTGACAATAATTACTTTAACTTCCCCAAAGTGTCCGGTTTCACACTGAGATACTTACATATATCCAGTTTGACAAATTCCCCTCCTTTTCCATCAAGGAGATCATTTTGTTTTAATGACAGTTTGTCTGAGGCAGCTCCCCTCCCCCGGAGCACTGCCATAAATCAACAGATCACAGGTCTGCCCACTTACCCCCAAGACACTTTCCTCCCCTTCAAGAAAGTTACTCATCTTATATCAATCAAAGGATGACACCAATAATCACTTGCTGTGGACCTCCCCTAGTTTTGATTTGATAAATGTGTCTACCCCTCTTTCTAATTGCACACTCTTTTCATCCTAATTTAATGTTCGTTTCCTGTCGTTTTGTTGAGGATGGCTGTGAGCACGAAGTCTATAATTTTTACATCAAGGAAGGTTTTTTTTTTCCTTTCCTCTTTTTATGAACAGGTGGAGCAGGCGGCAGAGGAATCAGTTTCACACTGAGATCATCTGGAAAGCCCTTTTATTGACCGATATCGACAAAGCGTGCCGCACCGAGCGAGCTTGTAGCGCACGAGCAAACACGGAAACTCGCACTCGCAGCACAAATAAACGAATGAGAGATAATTAGAGTCGTTTCTGTTTGAAGTATTATGCGCCGCAATTAAAATAGAACAGATAAAAGATGAGACAATAATAGATCTAATGAGGACCTTGACTGAGTGTTGTTCAACAAAGACCATTTTGTTTGACATAGTTCATACAGGATCATAAACTGATTTTCATATCCAAACATATGGGGGGAGGGGGCATCTGCAAACAAAATATGCATAATTACACCCATCAATACAGAGCTGCTGACCATTTATTTATTTATTAGTTTTCCATCCTTGAGCTCAGCTAGTGGTCTTAAAGGATGTAGATGGTGCCTTTAAATCTGCTATATATTTCTTTCTTTATGTAACATGCATCCTACATGGAGTATCTAAAGAGAGAACACTGAATTCAGGTCACCCCACAGCAGGAAATCTTCCTTTTTATGTGAGATCCAGAGGGGTCATTTTATGAACTCATTAGAAGAAAAATGCAAATGTAGTTCTGTTTTTTTATCTTTCTTTTATACTGTCTTCTTCTTTTCTTGCTTGTTTTAAAAACTAGAGCTGCGATGAAGAGAGGCTCGCTTAAAAATACAAGGTAGTAAGACGTGGAGAGAAAATGTGTTGGTCGATTCGGCCTTGTTGGAGAAGTTATTTGTTGCCTTGCTATCAAGTTGCTGAAATACATTTAACACCATTTATGTCTATTTATCAAGCATGCCAACTTTATGCATTTAAATAGTATTTGCTCAACGAAAAGATTCTGAAAATTTCAGAAGAGTTTTTTTATGTGAACCAACGTAGTTGCTGCCCCAAATTCCAAAATTGACTTTTAATAATTGAAGCTAAGAACTAATTGCTTTATTTTGTGTACAAAAAGCTAAGATTAAAAGAAATGGTATCGCTGCTGTCAACGTCTCCATAATGGTAACCATACTCTCACTCTCACTCCCTGCCATTAAAATGAAGAGACAGAAAGAAAATAAGCTTCATGAGCAAAAACTATGTTTTATTTTTTTTAATCCTGAACCATGAGTAGGAGAGAAGTCTGACGGCCACATGAGTAAATTTTTATGTTTCTACATGAGATATGAGAAGTCTAAAAGACACTTCACTAATGGTTTTGAAGATACTATTCTGTGTTAAATATACTTAAAGTTTGTGGACTCTGCACTCTGGACGATTTGAAAAAAAAAAACTGTAAGTCCTGTGGTAGTGAGAAACAAAAAATACACACATTCTGATGTATTATTTGTGTATGTACCCTAAAAAAAGTGAGAGTAAGAAGAGTTTGCTTGCAAAAAAATATGAAATATTTAGACAGTTTGTTTAGTAACATTGGACATTATGTGATAAAAGCTGTAAAATAATAACTAAGAAAAACTTAAACTTTGTGCAAAAACTGTAAAACATATCATAATGCCAATTAAAACATGTAAAGTCCAAATTGTTGCAACCTGTTTAAACTATGAATGATTTTTTTATGTGAAATATACCAGAGCTGGGTTTTCTCATGCATTTCACCCAAATCTCATTTATGTCTGCTGTTTTTGTACTTCGTTTCATTTCATTTTTTGTCCCAACAAAGGTCTTGCTAACTATTTCCAAACAAGCTTCAAAGTGTATGCACTGGCAACCTCAATAAATGGGTAAAAACAAACATTTACCTGGTGTGTCTTGCAGAACAAATGATCTCTCCTCTCATTGACTCCCATTGGCTCTTGTTTACATATGACTTCCATTGAGTTTTGACTAAAAAAAGAACATTAAACACAATAAAATTGTGAAATTTATAACGGAAAGTTTTTACAGCAGGAAATAAAAGCAACGTTTTTTTTTTACATAATTTTGGGGACTAAAATTTTATGCATTCTCTTGGATTGAGCATTTACAACAGTGACCTTAGAAGCATTTAATTCAGTACTAGCTCACACATATTATGTAACTTGATTTGAAAGCATTTAACAGCACATAAAAACAAAAAAATGTGTTTTTATTTATGTATTTATTGTTCTGCTAAATTCTGCATTTCAGTGCATGATATGCTTATATTTTAATAAGTAATTTACCTGCAAACAAATCCAAAATATGCAACAGGAAACGATTAATTTTATAATCTGTTGGTTTGGCTCATAGCTCAGGCCCAGCAGGCCTTTCTTGTCTGCCCTTGCAGGGCCTTTCCAAAATGTCTTCCTTTGTAGAGATGCTGCTTTCTCATGAATTATAACCATATGGGAGGTGAATGCTGGAGAACATTCAAGAAGAATAAGAAGAAACATGAGAGGTTTTCTCCTGTTAGGGTGGTTTTGTGGTAAATGTGGCATCACTTTAGAATATGCCTAAAAAAAGGTGCCAGATAATTAAATTAAATAAACTGTATTGAGGTAGAACCAACACATTCTGCTGGGCAAAAAAAAAAAAAAAAAGGAAAACAGCTTTTCATTTTATTATTTATTTTTATTTTTTTTACTTTTTATCACAGTTTTTCTCTGGAAACAAGACATGATATGGAAAAAAAATCTTTATAAAATGAAATGTTTGGTTGTTTTGTGTTCTTGTGTGAAATTTAATTACCTCTCTCTTTTATTTTTTTTCTGTTTTTCGACGCGTGCGTTAGGGCGCGTGCGTGTGAGCGCTCGCGCCTGGTTTGTGTGAGTGGAGGGGCGCGTGGAGGAGCACGCGGTTTCCGCTATACTCTGGAATGCAGCCAGTCTCGGCGCTTTTTTGAATCCACACTCAGCTTCCAAAACCCAGAAGCCTTTGATCTTTTTTTTTCTCCCTCTCCTCCCCCCTCGCCGTCTCCTCACCCGGAAGAGAACCCCCTTCTCCTCTCTCTCTCTCTCTCTCTCTCTCTCTCTCTCTCTCTCTCTCTCTCTCTCTCTCTCTCTCTCT